AGGCATGGTAAGTCATAGACTTGGCATTTGAGATAGAAACAGGATAGACGCTGAGGCGATGGGAGCTAGTGGGCTGACAGTAGGTTTTGTAAGAGATGTGGTCCATGTGGCAAAGGCGTGACCATGAGACTTACTCAGAGGCTTTAGCCTGGAATTAGTCACCCAGCCGCAAAGGAGGGGTAATGACACTTCGAGTAGGAAATAGAGAGAAATACTTAAACAAGAGAGATCGCAGATGGATTCTAAGGAGTGAGAGAGAAACTGTGATAAGACCTAGGGAAGGACTGCGTAACAATATGGCAGACTTTGATCAACACTCCCTAAAAGGATGAAGGGAAGTAAGAATTCCAGCGTGGAGTGCGGATAGGTTCTCCTGAAAGCCGCTCAAAAGGGCTTACCGTACTACATTTAATTAAGCAAGTAAAAAATTGTGAGAGTGAAAGCGTGAGTGGAGGATATAGTAAATGTGAATAGGCCAGGGCAGAATGGGAGACACCATAACTGTTTAGCACATGTTTGGTCAAAGGGTCGGCTTCACTTGTCTCTTTGACGAGTTGTAATACGGTGGTACGAATGGCAAAACTCACTGACAAGACCGGCGAAACGTCTGGGAATGTACCACGTCCACGATCCGACTTTGGAAATGATTATGCATCCAATGGAATCCGGACAAGGTGCGTTCCTCTAAGTCTTCCTACCAATATGACCAAGTTGCGAAAATAAGGTCAAACAAATTCTATGCAACAAAAGGAGACTGCGACCACACAAAAGGCCACACCATCTTGGTCTTCATACCTTCGATAAAAAAATAAGACCCAATAAAGCGAAACTGATACTTAACAAACCGTAATTTATAGGCTCTAGTTAACAGGACAGATAAGATATAGAAAGGATAGATGCGGCTGAATTTGTGTAAAAATAAGTGATTTTGATAAAATGAACAGGGTGAATAATTAGTGCTGAGGATATCAAGCAAACAAATTAAAATATACAAATGTGGTTGAAAATTAAACTGGTCTTCGGTTCACATGATATCACGTGGGACTGGATTGACAGATGAATACTGATAGCTAATATAGGTGAAAAATAAAGGAAAATTTAGGATGTAGCCTAAAAATAGTCAACATAGAAGGTTCTTAACAGGCCAACAAAAAGTAATTTTGGCTGATACTGAGAATGAAAGAGTTAGCTGAAGAGGAATCCAAAGAAAATCTGAGATACAAGTGCGTAACAAACATAAGAGAAAAGAATAAGGTAGAATCAATGTAAGTAATGTTTGAAGTAAGGCTAAATTGAAAAAGATCGGGAACCTGACTTAAAGATAAATGATAAAGATGCTAATTAACGTCACGCGACGCGCTCGTAGAAGAGAATGTACGCTTGAGCGGACAGCACAGTGGCCAAACTGACCAGATTCACGTGGTTGTCTGAGCAACGATACCAATGACGCCACTCAGCTGGCATATTCTTGACATCAGTTTGGCCCCTAGAGAAACATTGGTTTCGAAGAGCCTCCAAAGCGACCTGGTCAGAAATAGTGGAACAGTCCCCTTGTTGGAAGCCTATACAACGTCTAAGGCGCTCCACAAGATGAAGAGAGGATAATGGCCATTTTCTAGGGCTAGATATTTGGCCTACGAACGTTGGAAGGCGAGAGTGTGGCTGGGAGGGAGTCTAAATAATTTAATAAAGCAGGGGGATAAAAATATAATTATAATCATGATGAATTCTTGAGAATTCGCGAAAATTTTTCAAGAGATATATAATTACTATAGACATGGTACGATCTTGTTGTCACAACTTTGTCATGTTGTCCAGAAGACCTAGAAAAACACACCTTTTTGGAGGTCCTCTGCTATAGTAGTTATCATAATTCCAAGCGTTGGACGATGAACTTAGTGTATTCCTAGACGCTGCACCAGCAGCGTTGTAGGCACAACCAGAGTATTGCCGGTCTTAGCACCAGGCTACAACTCATCGGAGACAAGTAAAGCCAATCCCTTGGCCAACTTCTGCCAAAACGATTGCGTTATCACTCATGTCATGGCACATTTGCCTATTCCCTATCTTTATAACTCATTCCCTCCTCACCACAAGTTTTGACTTGTTTGTATTATATTCCTTGCGAGGTGTGCACTTTTTGGGAAATTTAGTGGGGCGTTATCACACCTGCTTATTTACCTTGCCTTCCCCTAGATTTGCCTGAATCACTGGCCAGACTCAGGTTTCCTATCCAAATCTCCCGCATAGCCTCGGAGATTCGTTTCTTATTTTACTGGTTGAATGAATTCACTCGGTTCTATTCACAGTATAAGTTTTACTCAGAGTGCTAATTTTCATAGTTTTCCACAAGCTTTTAGTAGCACTTATATTGTGGCCTCACTGAGCAGAGCTCCTAGACTATGATTCCCAAACTTGTAGATATCAAGCATTGTCTCCACGGCTAATTTATCTGATTCGATCCGTGTACCATGAACAAACCATTTAAGTGTATATATTAAATGTATTCATAGTTTGCTCAGGTTACACGGGCTGAAGTATAGTGATTAGCTGTAGAGACAATGTCTGATATCTAAAAGCTTGGGAATCTGAGTGAAACCATGTTGTAATAACCCGGTTAAGTACTTCAGATGGGGAATTGATAAGCTTCAGGAGATATAGGGCAGTTTATCCTGAGAAAGATTTTCAGCAAGTAAAGCTAAGCGACACTCAATTGAAAAATGAGGCCATCTAAGTTGAGCATGGACAATTCAGCTATCAAGCAATTAACTACCAATTCGACCTACAACAGCCACCTGTTGTTGATTCTGATTTGTCTTAGCTACAAAATTATATATAGTAGGGCAGTCTTAGAGAAGTTATCAAATATTCGATAAGCCAAAGAAGTTATGTACTCAGTGAATCAATGAATAAGTAGAAAGAAGAGAGTTAAATAAAGAATAGAGAAAAGATTAATTCATTATAACTATTATTAATACAATTTTTGATTGAAGAAACCATCAGTTTATAATAGTTGGGCTCATTCCATTTGGGGTAAGCTTGTGATGAAGATACAGGTCTCACCAAAAGACTGCGGCGGATTCCTTTTGGCTAGCTGTAGACCGACTTTACTGCAGCACTCTTGCTGACGTTCCAGTAAACCCAAATAACAGACTAAGAG